TCGTGTGGCGCTGCTGGACCTACCAGCGTGGACGGTGCGTTGCTCTCCGAGGCCCATGGCTTGGTAGCAGACATGCTGCAAGACCCACACCTGCCCCCGGCCGTGGTGTCTGGTCTCCAGGCACTGCACCTGCTCCTGGCACCCGCCCACACTGCCCCCTCTCCCAGGGGACACAGACCCACCCCCTACTTCCACCTTTCCCAGGACGCTTACGCCTCCGGGTCAGACACAGAAGAGAACCCCTACACGGGAGAGAAACCTTCAGTGCATAGGGTAGGTGGAGATGGGAGAGCTCTCTCTCTCTCTCTCTCTCTCTCTCTCTCTCTCTCTCTCTCTCTCTCTCTCTCTCTCTCTCTCTCTCTCTCTCTCTCTCTCTCTCTCTCTCTCTCTCTCTCTTTCTCTCACTCTCTCTCTCTCTCTCTTCTCTCTCTCTCTCTCTTTTCCTCTCTCTCCTCTCTCTCTCTCTCTCTCTCTCTCTCTCTCCCCTCTCCCCTCTCTCCTCTCTCCTTTCTCTTTCTTTCCTCTATTCCTTTCGTAATGAGTTTTTTTTATACTATATATATATATATATATATATTTAAAATATATATATAATATTATATAATATATATATTATATATGCAAAACAACCACTGTGAAAGGTAGTGAAATTTCAAGCGCTTTCGTGACTACTCACATTGTCAAGGAACTATGAAAGTAATACATCAAAGGAAGGCAATTAAAGGGCTTAGACTACACCTCACAGTAAAACCCTCACAACAAAGAAACACCTGACGCGCGACAATCCGGACTCATAAGAAAAGAGGAACACTGCAGTAGTCCCGCTGGTCCAACTGACAGGTCCTCACGACATCCCACAAAAAAATATTCTACCAAGAAATAAGGTTTATTATTTGTCCATTGTATTATTAAACTCTAACCAAATTTTATTAATTGTAAATGAGTCTAATTTATATAAACCTAAGGAAATATTCATATTATTTTCAAAACTGCTTTTTATGAAACAAGATTCAATTATATTCCTGTCGACCATGGACTTACTTGATACTACTTTCTCAACTTTTTGAAAATCAATTGGATGGTTAAAATCTCTTACATGAATAAATAGAGCATTGGAATCTTGTCCAGTTCTAATGCTATATTTATGTTGTTTTAATCTAAGTTCGAGATTTTTACCAGTTTGACCGTAATAAACTTTATCGCAAATTTTACAAGGAATCTTAGAGACACATACGTCAGCATTTTGGGAGGAATTCTTTATCAAAAGTTTTTTTACTGTATCAAGATTTTTAAATACAACTTTAATATTAAAAGTCTTAAGAAGAGAAGGCATATCAACCAAGTTTTCATGGTAAGGGAGAACCAACATATTTTTAGATGAATAAGGTTGGTTGTCCCTTTTTGGGTTGTAAAAAAGTATTTCTAGCAATTTTGAAGGATTTATCAATTACATTTCTCGGGTATTTCAGATCAATAGCTATTTCATAAATTTTGGATATTTCTTCATCTATGAACTCTGGACTACAAATACGTAAAGTTCTCAAAAACATTGATGAGAAAACAGACAGTTTAACTCTATCTTGATGGGAAGAATAATAGTGGACATAGCAACAGTTATTTGTAGGTTTTTCTTTTAAATTTTAAATTTGAATTCATTATTACTCTTAAAAATTTTAAAACATCAAGAAAAGGAAATTTGATTTTTTCTTCAAACTCAACAGTAAAGTTTATAGAATGGGCAAAGCTTTTTAAATTTTCCAAGGAAATGGTGTATATTACATTTTTGGGCATAAACACAAAATATCATCAACATATCTGAACCATTTAGCTCTATTAGGGAGGATTGTGTTAAGCAACCTTGTTTCAATAAATTCCATGTATAGGTTACTAAGAACAGGTGAAAGAGGATTTCCCATTGCCATACCAAACTTCTGAGTGTAAAACTTATCATTAAATACAAATTTTGCATCAACAACGCAAAGTTTAATAAGTTTAATGATAGTAGGAACTGGCAATGGTAAATCATAGTTAACGAGTTCTTCAGATAAGAAACTTAATAAATCATCAACAGGAACTTTCGTAAACAAGGAAGTAACATCAAAACTAACCATGTTAAAATCATTGAATCTTGTTTCATAAAAAGCAGTTTTGAAAATAATATGAATATTTCCTTAGGTTTATATAAATTAGGCTCATTTATAATTAATAAAATTTGGTTAGCGTTTAATTATTCATTGGACAAATAATAAGCCTTATTTCTTGGGTAGAATATTTAGTTAGTGGGATGACGTGAGGACCTGTCTAGTTGGACCAGCGGACCTACTGCAGTGTTCCTCTTTTCTTATGAGTCCGGCATTGTCGCGCGTCAGGTGTTTCTTTGTTGTGGGGGTTGACTGTGAGGTGTAGTCTAAGCCCTTTAATTGCCTTCCTTTGATGTATTACTTTCATAGTTCCTTGACAATGTGAGTAGTCACGAAAGCGCTTTGAATTTCACTACTCTTTCACAGTGGTTGTTTTGCATATTTTAAAATCCCCTGTTTACTGTTGATCTTATTGCATATATATAATATATATATATAAAATATATATATATAAATATATATTATATATATATATATATATATATATATATATATATATATATATATTATATATGTATATAATACATATATATATATATATATATATATATTATATTTTATATATATATAATATTATATATATAATATATAATATATATAAAACTGGTCAGTTAGAAAAGAACTCATTTAAAATTAAGTCCTTTCTAAAAATTTCTCATATATATTTTTCATTTGTTAATATGAAAAATAATGTTTTTGTACCAAAAGAACCTTAGAAAACTTACCTAACCTTATTATAACAAGCACAGTTTAACTTAGCCTAATCCAACTAAATATATTTTAGATAAGTACAATAATTTAATAATAAACAAACACAATAAAATGTATTTTTTTTCGTTAGATTCAGAAGGATTTTTGCGAAATTACTGCATACACAAATTTTCGCTTGCGTTATTCGGCAAAATGAGCTTTGCTATTTAAGCCACAATCGCAAGTTTTACCTATTCGGTATGACATGTATATATATATGTATAAATATATATATAGACATGTATATATATATGAAATAAATATATATATTTTATATATATATAAAATATATATTATATATTATATATTATATATATATATAAAATATATATATATATATATATATATATATATGAACTACATTAATACCCTATTATTTTTATTATTAATTTTTGATTATGATTACTATTATTTACTCATCCGGTTATTTTCCCCCGTGGGAGATTCCTTGATGCCGGCGAGGGCTCTTGATCTAAGATACCGGACTCATCATTCCCTGATTGTGTCCCCAGGAGTTCTTTTAACCTCCTACGGGTTTAGCGCTTCGTCCTGATTAAACTGATTTCTTAAATTCGGATGGTTCCGCTTCATTCTTATTTTCCCCCAAGGATGAACAAAGACACGCATATTGTTCATCCTGGATTGAACAATCAGCCATTCATGGGGTGTAGGAAGACTGTGGGGAGGGGGGGGGAGGGAGATGGTAGGGGTGAGAGAGGGTTAGGTAGGGGATGGGGTGAGGATGGGTTTAGGTAGTGGTAGTTATACTGGTTGTTGTGGTAGTTATACTGGTTGTTGTGGTAGTTATACTGGTTGTTGTGGTAGTTATACTGGTTGTTGTGGTAGTTATACTGGTTGTTGTGGTAGTTATACTGGTTGTTGTGGTAGTTATACTGGTTGTTGTGGTAGTTATACTGGTTGTTGTGGTAGTTAACTGGTTGTTGTGGTAGTTTTTACTGGTTGTTGTGGTAGTTTTTACTGGTTGTTGTGGTAGTTATACTGGTTGTTGTGGTTTATAAATGGTGTTGTGGTAGTTATACTGGTTGTTGTGGTAGTTATACTGGTGTTGTTGGGAGTTATCTGGTTGTTGTGGTAGTTATACTGGTTGTTGTGGTAGTTATACTGGGTTTTTGTGGTAGTTATACTGGTTGTTGTGGTAGTTATACTGGTTGTTTTGGGTAGTTTACAGGTTGTTTGGTGGGTTTTTTACTGGTTGTTGTGGTAGTTATACTGGTTGTTGTGGTAGTTATACTGGTTTTTTGTGGTAGTTATACTGGTTGATTTGGGAGTTATACTGGTTGTTGTGGTAGTTATACTGGTTGTTGTGGTAGTTATACTGGTTGTTGTGGTAGTTATACTGGTTGTTGTGGTAGTTATACTGGTTGTTGTTGTAGTTATACTGGTTTGTTGTGTAGTTATACTGGTTGTTGTGGTAGTTATACTGGTTGTTGTGGTAGTTATACTTGTTGTTGTGGTAGTTATACTGGTTGTTGTGGTAGTTATACTGGTTGTTGTGGTAGTTATACTGGTTGTTGTGGTAGTTATACTGGTTGTTGTGGTAGTTATACTGGTTGTTGTGGTAGTTATACTGGTTGTTGTGGTAGTTATGATAGTGATGATAGTGTTATATTCACTCCATCTCATAATCATCCACCATTCCAGCTATATCTCACCACCCACTACATCCCTCCATCTCTATCTCCCTTCATTATCATAGCTTCTCCTTCTACTTGATACTCCTTCCTCCAGGACCTTCTCTCACGGTTGCCATGGCAACATCTGAGGCAACAAAGAATCCTATCATTATTTTCTAATTATGTCTGTTCTCTCTCTCTCTCCTCTCTCTCTCTCTCTCTCTCATCGTTCACTTATACATCAGTGAGTGTAAGTTACTGTAACATATTTAAGAATGGAATCAAACATCTGCTAGGAATTATAGAGACGATATAAACATATATATCTTAAAAAGTGTTGTAAATATATATAAATATATATTTTATATATATAATATTATATATATATATTTTATATATAATTATATATATAATAAAATATATTTTATAGTATTTATATATATATATATATATATATATATATATATATATATTATATATATATAATATATATATATATTATATATTAAATATATATATAAATATATATATATATATATATATATATATATATTAATATATATATATATATATATATTTTATATTATATATGTCGTGCCGATAGGCAGAACTTGCGATCTTGGCTTAAATAGCAACATTCATCTTGCCATATAGGACAAGTGAAAATTTGTGTATGCAATAATTTCGCCAAAATCATTCTGAATCTAACGAAAAAAAATACATTACACTGTGTTTAGTATTAAATTATTGTAAACAAATCTAAATAAATTTGTTTTGGGGTTAGGCTAAAAATAAATTAAAGCTTGTTATAATAAGGTTAGGTAAGTTTTCTAAGATTCTTTTGGTGCAAAATATAAATTTTTACATCAACATTGATGAAAAAAATATATCTTTAAACGTATAAGAGAAAATTTTAGAAAAGACTTAATTTTAAATGAGTTCTTGCTAATTGACCAGTTTTACATATTCGGCACGACATATAATATAAAATATATATATATATATATATATATATAAAAATATATATATTATATATATATTATATATAAAATATATATATATATTCTGATGAAATTAGACCTTTTTTTTTGGTGCAACACTTTGTGCACTTAAAAAGAAGGATGGAGGAATTCGGCCAAAATTTCAGTAGGCAACACGTTACGGCCCCGGGCCCCGTGTCCAAAGCTGCTGTCCGAAGTATTCGTGCACAGGCAGCCATGATGCTTTAACCAAACCAGCTTGGCTTTGGGGGGCTCTCAAGAAGTGAAGCAGCGGTTCATGCAACAAGGGCGTATACAGCAACCTGCCTGAGGACAATGCAGTGGTAAAATTAGATTTCAAGAATGCGTTCAATCTCCTGAAAAGAGACGTTGGTATTAGCATCAGTACAAGAACTTTCCCCGGTCTTTCCTTTTGTTTCAGCCGGGTATAGCAAGGAATCAATGCTTTTCTTTGGGGAGCATGAAATCACAAACATCGGAGGGTGTCCAACAAGGAGATCCTCTTGCAAACCCTTTCTCTTCTGTATAGCAGTTAGGGAAATCACAGTCAGACTGACCAGCGAGCTAAACATCTGGTTTTCCCAGATGATGGCACACTAGCAGGTACAAAGGAGTCCCTCCTACATGACCTTACACAGGTAATGACACGGGGACAGGGAAAAGGGTCTCATCCTGAATCCATCCAAATGTGAAATCATCTCAGTCAGTCAACAAGCGATAAATGCAGTGAGATCAAAAAATACCAGGAGCAGCAGTCATTGCCCCACAAATAGTGTCTGCTAGGAGCACCTCTGGGGAAACAATGCCATTGACACAATTCTCAGGAAGAAATTGGAAGAGTTAAGGAGAAGGAACAACGAAAAGGGAATCTGGACACCCACGATGCCTTGTACCTTTTCACAAAGTGCTTGAGTCTGCCCAGGTTGACAATTTCCTAAAATGTGCACCTTCATATGATAACCCATACTACACAATATGACAGTATTCTGAGCCAGATTTTTAAAGAAAATACTTAAACTTACTCTAGAAGACGGGTAGTGGAAAACCCAAACTACACTTCCCTCAGTAGGAGGCATTGGTTTTCGCAAGTCATCACAGATTGCGTTTACCTGCTTTCTGCCCCGTGTAGCATCCAGAGAGCTTGTAGCAGCGATTCTCCGAACATCTTAGGACAAGATTGGAGTCCAGGAAACCAAAAATTCATTGACGGAGCAATGATCTGGGGTAATCTAACGGGCTCTGAAACCAGACCTGCTCCCCCCAACAACTACAAACAATCGCACTGGGATGGTCCAATAGTGGAAAAAAATTGCCTCAACAATGCTTCAGGGGTGTGTCAGGGAAGGATAGAGCCCGCCTCCTGGGGAGTGGAGCCCCTCATGCTGGGGACTTTCTGTTGGCTGTTCCCAACTCCATCCTTGGCCAAAGCCTCGACCCACAGACCATCCGCATAGGTGTTGCCCTTCGACTTTCCGCCCTATTCTCGCCGAACACAGGGTTTTTTGTGGCAGTGAAGCACAGACCGTTCGGGTACCATGGGCTTGTGTTCCGTAAATCCGAGGGAAAGATTGCAAGACATGAGGAGGTTAATAACATTATCAAGAGGGGCCTCACAACAGCTGGGTGCCCAGCAGTAAGGGAGCCACCCCAACTATGCAGATCTGATGGCAGCCAGAAGCGTCCAGATGGTATCACCCTTCAAGCCTGGACAGATGGGAAGCAGGTGGTGTGGGACTATACATGTGCATCTACCTTGGCTGATACTATCCCAATACACCCGGGAGGAAGGAGGGGCAGCTGCCAGCTTCAGGGAGTCCCCAAAAATCTAGAAATATGGGGAAATTGCCCATCATTATATGTTTTTTCCATAGGCTCAGAGACCTTGGGTCATGGGGAAAGAGTGCATCTAATTTCCCTTAAGGAACTGGGAAAAAGACTCTCAGGGTAACTAGGGGTCCAGGGCGGCTAGTTTTCTGTTCCAGCGGCTCAGTGCGGCTGTCAAAGGGGTAATGCCTGTGCATTTTGGGCACACGCCCCAGCTCTGAGGAGCTGGATGAGATTTTCGCCTTATAAACGGTGATACACACGTAACAACATGTACCGTATATGCCACCTTTATATTAAACAATGTATCTCTTTTAAAACTTCTGTGCCCTATTATGTAATAAAATTTTTCTATTGGTAAAAAAAAATAGTTTAAAAAATGGGGTGGTAGGGAAGTGGAGTATCAAACGGCTTCAGGAAGAAATCCAAATATTCTTCCTTGAAGCCTTTTTTTCCACTTCTCCGAGGCTATGGGTCCCACAATTTACACCAGAGGTGGACCCCATCCTTTGTATATGTATATGTATATGTATATAAATATTATATATATAAATATATATATTATTATATATATATATATATATATAATATATATATATATATATATATATATATATATATATATATATTATAAAACTAACAAGTTAAACCAGAAAAAAACTAAGCTATCAAATCTTCAAAATAATTGCGATTTTATACCACGATGGTTCGGTTGGATAAGAATGGTCAGGGAAACAGGACAAGTGTTACCTGACGCGGGTCTTAGTTACATGATGACCCGCCACTGGAGCTTCTGCGTCTTCCCTGAGGAAGAAAATATTTCCTATTACAAGATGGTCATAGGAAAGACTAGTTACGTAGAACATTGTGTGCTTGTAATTAAATAAACTTATAATCAGTTGAACTAAAAATTATAGTTAACAGATAGCGTATTATATCTGGATAATTGTATTGGACGTTTTTAAATTATTATTATTATTATTATTATTATTATTATTATTATTATTATTATTATTATTATTATTATTATTATTATTAAATTTTAATAATTAAATTATAGTTATTATTATTTTATTATTATTAAATTATCATTATTATTTAAAGGTTATACTGAACATCATACTTAAATATGTAGAGAGAGGGGTCTTGATGTTGCGAAGGGCTCTTGATTTAAGGAACTGTAGCTATCCCTCCCTTCTTCGGATCAAACCTGATTGCCTACCTTTATCCCGTCGTTGAGATGACACCCCCGACGCGGGGGAGGGGAGGGGAGGGGGGAGGGGGGAGGGGGGGAAGGGGGGTTGCTACTACTGGTAAACTCAGGAAAAAATATGAGTACCAAGTACCTGGTATCTGGTACTAACTTCACCTTGTACGTTGAACAGCGGAGTGGTCGTCGGAGCGTGGCACCCAGCCTGCTGCGTCGCATGAGTACCTCTACCTGGACCACCACCACCAGTGCCACGGGCATGCCCACACTGGAGCCCATACCCTGCAGGAAGCGTGCCTCCTCCTTCAGGGCAGTCGTAGGTAAGTGGAGCTTCAAGCTCTCTCTCTCTCTCTCTCTCTCTCTCTCTCTCTCTCTCTCTCTCTCTCGTATTTACCTTTCTCTATTACGTATATTTTGATTTCTCCTGCTATTATTATTATTGTTGTTATTATTGTTGTTGTAGATATTTTATTATATATTTCTTTTTCTTCTCCTTGTCCTCCTCCTTCTCTTCCTCTTCCTCCTCCTGTCATTAAATATCTCCTTCCACTCTGGTCTTATAGCTTAGTACAGTAAAACAAGTGCTGGAGTGTTGAGTCTGAAGAAATGTGCGCTAGACGATACCTTCCTATGATACCTTAATATATTTATGATAGAGCCTCCAGTGTTAAGCCCGACCCCCTCCATACACACACACACACTCTCACCCCACACACACACACACACACACACACACACACACACACACACACACACACACACACACACACACACGCACACACACACTTTCTCTCTCTTTCACACACACACACATTAACGCTTTTTTTTTCTTGAATTATTAAATCTCTCTATGTCTCCTCTCTCCCTTGTTACTCTTCCTCTTTACCCCTTATCCCCCCTTTTCTTTACCCCCTCCTCTTTGTGGCGATCTATTTCTCCTCTTGTTGGCTTCCCTGCCTGAAGTTAGAAAGCCAAAACTCTGCAAAAGAGAGAGTGAAACTTTTGGGAAGTGATTGTGACTTTTGTCCCTCTTTAGTTACACCAGTCTTGTATTATTCCTCTGTTCTCTCTCTCTCTCTCTCTCCCTCTCTCTTCTCTCTCTCTCTCTCTCTCTCTCTCTCTTTATATATATATATATATATATATATATATATATATATATATATATATATATATATATATATATTATATATATATATATATATATATATATATATATCTATCTCTATCTATCTATCTACCTATCTATATATATATCTATCTATCTCTATCTCTCTATATTAAATTGCATATTAATAAATTTTTTCACTAAAATAATATATATATATGTATATTATATATATATATATATATATATATATATATATATATATATATATATATATATTATATATATATATATATAAAGTAGTGTAGTTTTCTACAGTATGGCTCCCACAGTATGGCTCCTCCTGAAAAGGCCTTCTACAGAGTGGCTCCTTTTCCTGAGTGGCTCCCTTTTTCACACCTATGTGCTAATGACCTTTTTCACAACTATGTGCTAATGACCTTTTTCACACCTATGTGCTAATGACCTTAACCCCCCCCCACGACCCCCGCCCACGACCCTCACCGGCGTCCCCCCGCGCCCCCGTGCCCCCCCGCCCGTCGCGCTGACCCACTGGCCCCGCGTGCCCTCGCGCCCCGCCCGCGCCCCTCGCGCCCCGCCCGCGCCTTCTGCTGCGCCTTCTGCAGCGTCGTCCGGATCGCCCCCGCGCCCCGAAATTTTTTCCGATTTTTTTCAAATTTTTTTTTAATTTCTTATGCTCTCCTCGAATCAAGTTTTTTGGATTGCCCCTCCCACTTTCACCCCCATCCCAATTTCATTTTCTTATGATCTCCTTGGATCAAGTTTTTTTTCTCGATAATACCAAGACTCCATCTTCTCGGATCAAGTTTTTCTCGATATCAAAGACTCCAATTCCTCGGATCAAATTTTTCTCGAAGTCAAAGTCTCCATCTCCTTGGATCAAGTTTTCTCGATAATACAAAGACTCCAATTCCTCGGATCAAGTTTTTCTCGAAATCAAAGTCTCCATCTCCTTGGATCAAGCTTTTCTCGATAATACAAAGACTCCATCTCCTTGGATCAAAGTTTTTCTCGATAATACCCCGACGGGCCCATCACGACATAGGAGCCAGAGTGTAGGTGTAGTAGGTGGTGTTGGAGTGGTGATGGTTTCTCTGGCTCCTACGTCGTGATGGGCCCGTCGGGGTTAAAACAACTCTAGGAGATATACGGAATGAATAAGGAAGGATGTTTTAGGGATGATGTGGATGAGGAAATGTGATATGCAACATAAATGCGGTATGAATATTCATACCGCAATATGTCAAGTATAGGTTTTTGGTGTATCTCTTAGTTAAGATGTGTATGTCTTAGTTGGAGGTGAATGTCTTAGATTTGGTGTGTATGTCTCATGTCTTAAATTTGTGATTGAAATGTATAAGATGTGGGTGATATGGAATTGGTGATCGTGATTTTTGTGTGAATAATTATAAAAAAATGTGTGTTTTCTGTGATCTTGCTGGTGGGGTCATAAAATCTGGTAATCGTCTTGAATATAGTGTTCTTAGATAATGTGGGTACAACAGGTTGAAACAAGGTGGGTTGGGTGTGATGTTACCAACCACCAAGTAACACAATGGGAGTGTGACGTCACTGGAGGTGAGCTCGTAGGTCCTGTGAGGTGTGACATCGTGTGTTGGTGGTAGTGAGGTGAGTGCGCTTAGATATTGTCAAATATGATTTTTTTTGTGTGTGAAATGTTTATAAAAATGAGTGTTTTCTGTGATATTAGTGATTTTTGAGGTAAGTGAACATGGGTGATTGTAGTTGGTGGTTGTCTTAGATTATGTGTGTGTGTACAAGATATGTTTTCAGTTGATGGTGATCATGTACTAAGTGTTTGCGTATTAGGTTTGTGTTCATGCTTTTTTTTATGTGCCAAATGGGGAGGGAGTTCTTGGTTATAGTGATTTGAGGGGATTTCTATAAAAAGGATGTTGGATGGTGATGTTAAACTTAGTTTCTGGTGATTTTGACGGTGATTTGGTAGTAATCAGTAGTGTTTTTTTTTGGGAGTATTCGGAGGTGTTTGATGGTTTTTTTTTGAAGGTGTTCAAATGATGTGCAGAGTATTTTTTGAAGAAGATCAGTGGTGTTCAGAGTTGGTTCAAAGTTAGTCAGTGTGTTAGATATGGTAATGTCTCATGTCATAAGTGTCTGAGTTAGTTTTTGTGTTAATGTTGTAAAGTCTGGAGACTGAGGGAGTAGTATGGTGGATGTGTTGTAATTTAATGAAATGTGTAAGTGTAGATAAATTAGAGATGATAAAATCTTATTTGGGAGTAATCAAAATGATATTTTGGAAGTGCTTCAGTGTTGTTTGGAAATGTTCAAATGTGTTTATGTGAGTATTCAAATGATTTATGAGAGTGTTCGAAGTAATCTTGGGGTTGTTCTGTAGTGAGATGATAAAGGTTGTGGATGAGAGATATTGAGAAAAGGTGGTCTCAAATGATGTATGAGAGTGTTTTGAAGGTGTTCAAAGTAAAGTGAGGTTGTGTGTGTGTGTGTGTGTGTGTGTTAGGTGGTCATAGAGTTTTGTGAATATCATGGTTACAGTGATTTTAGTGTATTTGAGTTAGGTTAGGTTAGGTTAGGTTAGGTTAGGTTAGGTTAGGTTAGGTTAGGTTAGGTTAGGTGTTAGGTTCAGTTAGGTTAGGTAGATTAGGTTGGGTTAGGATAGGTTCGGTTAGGTTAGGTTAGGTTAGGTTAAGTTAGGTTAGGTTAAGTTAGGTTAGGTTAGGTTAGGTTAGGTTAGGTTAGGTTAGGATAGGTTAGGTTAGGTTAGGTTAGGTTAGGTTAGGTTAGGTTAACTTAGGTTCGGTTCGGTTCAGTTCGGTTTGGTTAGGTTAGGTTAGGTTAGGTTAGGTTAAGATAGGTTAGGTTAGGTTAGGTTAAGTTAGGTTAGGTTAGGTTAGGTTAGGTTAGGTTAGGTTAGGTTAGGTTAGGCTAGGTTAGGTTCGGTTAGGTTAGGTTAGGTTAGGTTCGGTTAGGTTCGGTAAGTGCAGATAAATTAGAGCTGTCAAATCTTATTTGGGAGTATTCAAAATGATATTTTAGAAGTGTTTCAGTGTTGTTTGGAAATGTTCAAAGGTATTTTTGTGAGTATTCAAATGATTTATGAGAGTGTTTTGAAGGTGTCAAAGTAAAGTGAGGTGTGTGTGCGTATTAACTTCGTAATATGTAAAATTGTGACTAGTGAATTTATCGAAAAGTGGTTATAAGTGTTGTGGTGACTTTTTCTGATGAAATAGTTAAAACGAGAAAAATTGGGGGTTATGAGTGAAAATTGTGAGGTGTTGGTTGGAGTGTGAGGGTTCGGGAGGGTGGGGAGGAGGAGAGAGAGAAGGTTACTTCGTGGGGAGTGACCTGAGATGAAATAGTTAAAATGAGAAAAATGTCTAGACTTGTGTTGTATTTTGTAAAGAAATTGTGGATTGTTGTGGGTATTAACGAAAAAAATGTGAAATTATTTGGATTATCCTGGGTTAAGAGTGAAAAATGTGTAGGGGGAAGTCGACAAGATTCAGCCTGTGTGTGTGGGGTCATCGCGTGACGTCACTGGCATAGGGGGAAGTCGACAAGATTCAGCCTGTATGTGTGAGGTCATCACATGACGTCACTGACATAGGGGGAAGTCGACAAGATTCAGCCTATATGTGTGAGGTCATCACATGACGTCACTGACATAGGGGGAAGTCGACAAGATTCAGCCTGTATGTGTGAGGTCATCACGTGATGTCACTGACTGCCGAGTAAACACACTTTTTAGTTCATTTAACTTAATGAGAGGAATACTGACGTCACACTTGTTTAGACCTGTAGTAAGAGAGAGTACCATGCCCCATAGGAGGAGTTCATTTGAATGCTTACCCTGAGAGGGGGAATCCAAAAAAACTTGATCCGAGGAGATGGAGGAGAAAACCTTGATCCAAGGAGATGGAGTCTTGGTATTATCGAGAAAAACTTTGATCCAAGGAGATGGAGTCTTTGTATTATCGAGAAAAGCTTGATCCAAGGAGATGGAGACTTTGATTTCGAGAAAAACTTGATCCGAGGAATTGGAGTCTTTGTATTATCGAGAAAACTTGATCTAAGGAGATGGAGACTTTGATTTCGAGAAAAATTTGATCTGAGGAATTGGAGTCTTTGATATCGAGAAAAACTTGATCCGAGGAGATGGAGTCTTGGTATTATCGAGAAAAAAAAACTTGATCCAAGGAGATCATAAGAAAATGAAGTTGGGATGGGGATGAAAGTGGGAGGGGCAATCCAAAAAACTTGATTCGAGGAAGTGGAGATCATAAGAAAATGAAATTCAAAAAAAATTTGAAAAAAATCGGAAAAAAATTCAGGGCGTGGGGGCGATCCGGACGACGCTGCAGAAGGCGCAGCAGAAGGCACGGGCGGGGCGCGAGGGGTGCGGGCGGGGCGCGAGGGCGCGGCGGGGCTGGTGGGTCGGCGCGACGGGCGGGGGGCGCCCGGGGGCGCGGGGGGGGCGCGGGGGGGGCGCGGAGGGCGCGGGGGGGGCGCGGGGGGCACGGGTGAGGGGTCGTGGGCGGGGGTCGTGGGCGGGGTCGTGGGCGGGGGTCGTGGGCGGGGGTCGTGGGCGGGGGTCGTGGGCGGGGTTAAGGTCATTAGCACATAGGTGTGAAAAAGGGAGCCACTCTGTAGAAGGCCTTTTCAGGAGGAGCCATACTGTGGGAGCCATACTGTAGAAATCAACACTACTTATATATAATATATATATATATATATATATATTAATATTATATATATATATATAATATATATATTCCACATTACTCTATGGAATCAATAAGTATCCACCAGCACACTCCATGACTCATTATTTCACCCTTTCCCGTCATTATCCAGTCATTGTCTCCTGCCCGCACGCTATCCTCCTGGCAAGTCAGTTATCCTCTATATTTTTCTGGCATTTCCTTATCCTTTATATCCTCATTACACCTTTATTATCCTGTATATCCTTCTGGCAAGTCAATTATCCTGTATATTAAGAACAGAGAGAAGATGAAGACGCAGCCACCCTCCTCTCCCGTGTGGCTAAGTCAGCCCTACTGACGGAGGCTGCCAAGGCAATGCAGAAACAACAGCAGCAGCAGCAGCAGCAACAACAACAGCATCAACAGCAACAACAACAGCAGCAGCAGCAGCAGCAGAAACAGCATAAGCAACAGCAGAATGATGAAGATGATGGGGAAGACGAGGAACCTGCAACATGTCAGTCAGACTTACCAATGTGTTCAGCATCTCAGAAAATGCTAAATACCCCAGATGCATATTAACGCTTCTACCATCAAAGTGCAGATTGATGGGGTCTTTTCCTCGCTGGCATTTGCAATTTGTTTTTTTCTGTGTATTTGTGAATATGTGTGTGTGTGTGTGTGTTAGTATGTGTCTATTTAAGTATGTATGCTGTATGGTGGTGTTTATTGCTCGTGTGTATGAGTGTGTGTATGTTGTTAGCATATAAATGTGCGTTTATGAGTCTGTAATGATTCTGTGTGTGTGTGTGTGTGTGTGTGTGTGTGTGTGTGTGTGTGTGTGTGTGTGTGCGTCTGTCTTTCTGTGTGTACGTGTTTTGTGTTCTTTTCCCAACTAGTGTTGGTAGTGTGGGTCGACGTACATCTTGGTTCCTAGTCTTAATTATTAATGTAGTAGTGTTGTTATTCCTATTCACTTGGGTACAGCCGTACCTGTTTACGAAACTATGAATGAAAGTGCTTTGCTTACCTCTTTTTTAACTAGCCTGACACTGAACTGTTTGCTTCATAACGTCCCTTTTTGTTTCTGAGCTCCTCGTTATGGACTTCACTGAATGGACGGAAGATCGATCCTCCAATATTCCTTTACACTGACCCCACGCTGGTTTAGCCTTCCGTGAAATATAGTGTATGTCGTGGTTGTGTCTCCCATAACACTTCTCTCCTCCAGAGACACGAGGTTGAGCTTTGTTTCTTTTGTTGCAGAGTTGCTGGTGTTCAGTTCGGGTGCAAGTCTGCTGCAGTACCACACAACACTAGCGTCGCTTGTTAGGCCTATTTTCTGTGTGTACTCGCCTCTTTGTGATTGCAAGGGTCGAGTCCTAGCTCCTGGCCCCGCCTCTTCACTGGTTGCTATTGGGTCCTCTCTCTTCCTGTTCCATGAGCTTTATCATACCTCGTCTTAAAACTATGTATGGTTCCCGCCTCCATTACGTCACTTTCTAGGCTATTCCACTTCCTGACAACTCTGTGACTGAAGAAATACTTCCTAACATCCCTTTGACTCATCTGTGTCTTCAACTTCCAATTGTGACATCTAGTTTCTGTGTCCCCTCCCTGGAACATCCTGTCTTTGTCCACCTTGTCTATTCCACGTCGTTATCATGTCTCCCCTGACCCTCCTGTCCTCCAGTGTCGTCAAGCCGATTTCCCTAAACCTTTCTTCATAGGACATTCCCCTTAGCTCTGGAACTAACCTTATCGCAAAGCTTTGCACTTTCTCTAATTTCTTGACATGTGTGTGTGTGTGTGTGTGTGTGTGTGTGTGTGTGTGTGTGTGTGTGTGTGTGTGTGTGTGTGTGTGTGTGTGTGTGTGTGTGTGTGTGTGTGTGTCCAATTCGCGACGTTACTTTACTCCTGGGAAATACTCTAGAAATATGTCACAATATTTTGGCTGGAACTGTTTACATCTTACTCACGTTAGTACTTTGTCACGTTGGTGTTCAGAGTTCATATCATTTTCTATATCAGAGTCAGTACGTCATAGTTTATTGTTATGTACAGAAACACAAAGTCAAGGTTCATGTTAGAAATCAGGTATAAGTTTAGATTTTTACAGTTGTCTTACAGAGTAACACATGCGTCAATTACTTAGGACAATTTAATGAAGTCAAACTAAGCAACTTATGTTCATAGACGTCAACAAGTGGGCGGGACTCACTGATATGTAATCTCAGTATTACACAAAAAAAAAGGTCACTAGCGGTCGAAACATAACAAAGGTATCCAGGCACGGCACCTGTGTCTCATTGATCAGTCTGTCGGTATCGTACACCGTTTATAAGAACATAAGTCATAAATAACTTGAAGTCTCGATGGAAATTTCTTTAAAATGAATTTTATTCTCTCTCTTGTTTCGGAAGATGTTCGCCCGGTGAGTGTGCCATGATCAGCGGACGGAGGTTCAAGTCTCCAACACTGACGCTGGTAAAGGGCTGTTATCCTAGGACATGAGAGCCACTCTCATCTTCCACGCATTAAAATGCGATTATACCCCCCTCCCCACCTCTCCCTTTTCCCAGGCGCTGTATGACCCTTACGTATCTAGCGCTTCCGCACGACCCCCCCCCCCGACTATGCTAGGGCGTGGCACTATAGCTGGGTACGGTCAAACAGTGGTATCTGTGAGTACGTGAAGATGGTACCTTGATGGTGGACCATGATGGCACCGACCACTGCTTTACCTGCGTTGTGATACATCATATATATACACCCAGTGATGTAGGTCTGTCGGTGTATGTACTTAAATTACTGTTTTCAGGGATCAAAGTATTCTTGACTGGTGGTGAACAGGTAACGAGCAGCCTTAATGACCCTCGTGTAGTCGACAGTCTTCAAACCACATTAACCAAGCAACATTCAGTGATATGAGTGAGAACCAGGTCACTGATCAGTACTCTATTTTTTTGTTTTTTACTTTCTCGTTTGTTTCACGTAACCTGATAATGGTTAACGGAGGAGCAAAACATGTGGCACACTTAATTTGCAGTGTGTGTGGGTCAGTTAAGTAATATACAGTCACTTGTCTTCAAGGTAATCTAGTGTCTCCTTTCCCCCCATTCACCCATCTTGTAGGCTACACACGCGTCGAGGTTGTTCAACTGTAGCAGTCACTTGTGCCTCCCTCAGCTCACCTCTTGTGTGTGTGTGTGTGTGTGTGTGTGTGTGTGTGTGTGTGTGTGTGTGTGTACACTCACCTAATTGTGGTTGCAAGGGTCGAGACTCAGCTCCTGGCCCCGCCTCTTCACTTATCGCTACTAGGTTCTCTCTCTCCTCACTGAGCTTTGTCATACCTCGTCTTAAAGTTGTGTATGGTTCTTGCCTCCACTACATCACTTGCTAAACTATTCCACTTCCTGACATATCTATGACTGAAGAACTACTCCCTAACATCCCTGTGACTCGTCTGAGTCTTCAGCTTCCAACTGTGACCCGTTGTTTCTGTGTCCCCTCTCTGGAACATCCTGTCTGTCCACCTTATCTATTCCACGCAGTATTTTGTATGTCGTTATCATGTCTCCCCTGACACTCCTGTCCTCCAGTGTCGTCAGGCCGTGTGTGGGGGGAGGGGGTTCATTGGTTGCTTGCTTTATTGGGTTTAAAGACTATCGACCACATGAGGGTTATTAAGGCTGTCACCTGTACACCACCACCCAAGGTCACTTTACTCTCTAAAATAGGGATTACCCTCTCATTGTATATACCTTTTTTTTTTTTGAGGTGTAGATTTAATCACCCCCAGCAAATTTTTTTATAGATTAATATTTTAAGTTTTTCAGTTTTTTTATATTAAGACTGAATAAGCAACTTCACCTAACTTCCCCCAAATTTACGTAATATGACATTGCTTAATTGACCTAACTTACCAGAGAATCTGCATAATTTATTTTTACCTGAGATCACAGGTATCCAGGTGACCCTCATTGTGTGTGTACTCACCTTTTTGTGGTTGTAGGGGTCGATTCACAGCTCCTGGCTCCGCCTCTTCACTGATTGCTATTAGGTCCTCTCTCTTTCTCTGCTCCACGAGCTTTATCAAACCTCGTCTTAAAACTATGTATGGTTCCTAAGACGAGGTTTGATAAAGATCATGGAACAGGGAGAGAGAGGACCTAGTAGCAGTCAGTGAAGAGCCGGGGCCAGGAGCTGTGACTCAATCCCTGCAACCACAAATAGGTGTGTGTGTGTGTGTGTGTGTGTGTGTGTGTGTGTGTGTGTGTGTGTGTGTGTGTGTGTGTGTGTGTGTGTGTGTGTGCAGAGTCGTTATATTAGCAAAGGTGAATCACGTGTATTTTTTGGGGGATTTTGTAGCATATGTACGTATACGTGTATATGTGTATGGATGTATGTATGCCCATGACATTTCACAGTATGTATGCATATGAAGCTTCACAGAATATGTACCGTATGTATGTATGTATGTATGTATGTATGTATGTATGTATGTATGTATGTATGTATGTATGTATGTATGTGGGCCTTTACAGTTGAGCCGCCGCAACCTACCCAGCACCACCAACATGCAGGTCTTGCAGTAGCATAACGCCTAGTCGCACTATAGGCCTAGTGCCTAGGCTCACCGCTGTTTTTTTGTAGTACACGCTAACTACAGGTAAACTCCACTCTTTCCATGCCTCTGGTGCTAGAAAACCACTCTCTAGCAATATACTCACCTCTCTAGCATATATACTAACTTCTCTAGCAAATATACTCACCTCTCTAGCGTATATATATATATATATATATATATATATATATATATATATATATATATATATATATATATATATATATATATATATATATATATGTATATATTAACCTCTCGCATATATATTAACCTCTCTCGATATACTAACCTCTCTAGCATATATACTCTTAGCTTTGTAGTTACGTTACTGGGTTGGTAATGAAAATTATAATTATATAAACATATTGGCACATTCACTAATTAATCTACGTAAGATATCGTTTATAATGGCTGATATTTTTTGCATGTTAAATAATAATATATGAACATTTGCTTTTCCTCACAGAAAACAGCTAGCAAAAGTTATGCAAATTTTTACACGCAGACTTTTTTTTCGTATTTTGCACCAAAAGTTAAGCAGAGCTGCCTAAAATTTACGTAATATTAAATAGCTTTATTTACTTAACATGTCTAAGACTTTGTAGAGGTTTAGTTGAATGTTTTTCTTCCCTAGTGAAAGGTGAGTTAGCTTCCTGTGACGGTGTCTTCAATTATCATTTATTATCATTACAAACACATATCTAGTATCGACCTGCGAAGAGGCGGGGGCCAGGAGCTGTGACTCAGGCCCTGCAACCGCAAGTAGGCGAGTACACAACTAGGTTCATAGAGTACACTAGCGTAATTATAGATGATTCTCCCTCATACACCACCAGCCAGGTACACTAACCTTAGTCCCATTGTATATACACAACAAACACATATAC